GAGCCGGCTGGTGTCCTCAAAGAGGCTGAAGACGTGCCACCCGAACGCGCCGGGAGTGACGGTTCCACATAAGGAGTGTCCATGTAGCTCAGCTTCTGAGCTAGCTTCCTACAGCTCTTCTTTACCTTCTGCATAAATAGACGTTAAAGTTTGTGCATTTTCCAAACGCATATACAATAAAGAAACATTTTCGGAATGGATAAGTTTATGTTTACCTCCGCAAAAGCCTCGAGAACGCCTAGCCCCTGCCCTCTAGACTCGTGAAGCTGAAACGTTGCTTCGTTGGACATCCTTGACAATTGTGTCGTCTGGGTACAGTTTTAGTACACATACTTAATACCAAAAGGATAACAAATTGTACCATTCAAGTATCTTACCACATATCTTTGAAGCAAGGTTCACTGTAGTTGTGTGTCCTCCCTAGTGAGAACGTCGTACACATCTTCGATCACATCTTCCTTCGAGTCCTCGTCAATCGCCTCCTCAGTGTATAGGGGCTTGATATGTGTCCTCGTAGACCTATGAAGCCACCGCAGGTACTCGTCAAAGATGTGTTGGTCGTGTGGAGGACCCGTATGGACCGGCTGCCATTCCCTGGTCTCCCACAAGTGGATGTGCGCGTTGTGTGTCATGCACCAATTCTTGGTCTTGTACCTCTTCCTACGGTCATACCTGCAACAAAACGATGTTAGTTGTACCACACAGACCTCTAAATTATACCTTTGTTATTAATCGATAACTCACCCATACAATCCTTGGTCGGTGGAGTAAAGCGGTGGTGGGCAGCCTGTCATTCTCCCAAACAGTCTGTAGAGCCTGATGGGCAAGTGAATCTCAACCACGTGGAAGAAAGTAAGAGGGACGTTGCAGCGATACTCGTCTGACTCATCCCTAGTGACAGGACTCAGATAGTACTTGAGCTCCGGAGCATCCCAAGGACACCAATGCACCTGAACATTTCGTAATTGAGTTAGGTTGTGATATAGTGTACATCGAACAAGACACATGTATGATAGTAAAGAGAACGTAACCTGGTGCTATGTCAGGACATCGAGACCGTCCATGTACTCCCTATACTTGCGCCTCGCATTCCCTCTAACTAACTCTGCTTCCGTCCAGATATACAAAGCTGTGGGGAGTGTATCCTGCCCGTTCCATTGCTGCATTGAACATGATAATGAATTAGCCATTAATAATTTTATCATATATAACTGTCTCGAAGAATATAGTGAACCGAAGTACTTACCGGTAAACCAGTATGAAGGGGCCTCCCAACGGGCCATCGTTTCCAACACCAAACCTGGAGTAGGTAGGAGCAACCCCCAAGGTTCGCATACCCTGAGGTGCGATGGGAGGCAACGCATAGCTGTCGATACATCCATGTCAGGACTGCGCTGCCCCAGCTGTACGCCGCTATGTTCTCCCATAGTTGGCGTAGTATGTCAAGGAAGATCCAGCTGATGGTGTTGCCCGAGGCGTCTGGGAAGAGGAAAGCACCAAGAAAGTGCCAGAGCCACACTCTCGCGAACCTGTCGATCTGAGCCTCCTCAGCTTGTGGGTCCAAGTATTTAAAACGCTATGTGATCCAGGATGACGAAACACCATAACTTTTCCTGAAATTGACCAAAGAAAATGAGACCCGATGACTGCAGGAAAGCAATGCAAGTATTAAATAGGCTTGAATTACTCACTTATTTTTCTTGGAAGCCTCATCGTCCGGTGGAAGAAAGCCAGTGAACTGAGCCACCAGCTCCCTTCAGTGATCGTTGTCAACTATCCCTGTCACTGGAAGTCCCACCAACCAAAGGCCAAAGATAGCCTTCACATCTTGCATGGTCAAGGTCATATCGCCGCAAGGTAGGTGGAACATGTGGGTCTCAGGCCTCCACCTGTTTTAAGAATAGAACGACTGTTAGTTGCTTCAAATTTGTTATAAGAATGTTTACGTATAAAGAAGGCACTTGCACCTGTCTACAGCTACAGTAAGTAGTGCTGGGTCAAGGGATGGAAGACCGTAGTTGACAACACGGACAAGCTCGAGGAAGCTGACACGCCGTATATACGGCGCGTAACGCTCGTCCCACTGGTGCGCCCTGGTGTGCGTGCGGGGCCTCAAAGTAGGCAAGACCACCTGTGCGTCGGTGTCACTCAAGATGTGTGCTCGGTGCTGGTCACCGTACTCCACCTCAAGAATGGGATACAACGGGTGCTGCGTGGGAGGGGCCATCCTGCTATAAATTGATAAACAAAGGGTTAGAGTATTCAAATTAACAATTTTCAAATTAACATTATGTAGCATTGCAAAATTTGAACTACTTGTTATGCAATACGAACACAATATAAAAACACATGTATATATTCAAAGTAACATTAACAGACATATTAAATAACTTCACTAGAAAAATAAGCATTTGACGAAACTTCATCAAGTCATCCACATCGCTGTATCACGCACTACTAAGTACCGACAATCAATCCCTAAACCCAAAATCCTAACTAACAGTAACCTAAACCCTAACTACCTAACCAAAATTACCTAACCTAAACCCAAAATCAATCCCTAAACCCTAACTACCTAACCAAACCTTAACTATCTTAGATCACTAACAAATTCTAAATCGCTATCCTAACAAATTCTAAATCACTAACAAATCCTAACAAATTCACTAACATAACTATCATAAATCACTAACCCTAACTAAAATAACAATCATAATAACATAAAATCGAGAGAGCTTACCTTGATATTTGTGGGTGGGCGGCCGGCCGACGGCCGTGACGCACCGGCGTTCGTGGCGCGGCCGGAGTGGGCGGGCGGCCGGGGCTCTGCGCGGCGTGCGAGGGGCCGGGCAAGCGCGGTGGTCGGCGTGCGATTCTGGCGACAGCAGTCTTCTGCGTATGGCTGCCATGGCGGGTGGCGGGCAAGGCAGGGCGCGGCGGCGAGCAGAGAGGGGGGGCTCGGGGGCAGGGGCGGCTCGCGGGCAATATTTATCTGATCCTGCCCAGTGCCGCGCCAAGATCGGTGGCGCGACCATGTCACCGGTCAGCGGCCCCGGTCTTCGCCACGTCACCCTCCTGCCGCGCCACCATGCATGGCGCGGCACATGCATTTCGCCGCGCTATGACAATAGGCGCGGCAAAAAGTGTTAATTTTAAAAAAACCGTGTTAGATTTAAAATTATTTTAAAAAAGTGTTAAAATTAAAAAAAATCACCACACCACGCGTTCTGGAAATCTACTCTTAGCAGGAATTGCTGCAACCACTGTAGCATTGAGAGCTAAGTATTGTGAATATTTCGTTGACAATCACAGAGACAGCATACAATGCATCAGCTCGTGTTTCACTCTGCCGGAGCGCTAGAAGCAGGCAAGCAGACCGATCGGTCTTTTTACTCTTTACCGTCCCTCCCCAGAAGTTGGTGTTGACGTGCAACAGCGCATCGCCCGATTTGCTGAGGCCCATCCGAGTTTTTACTCTTTATCATTACCGTCCACGGAATTGGTGTTCACCGTGCACCGCCGTCGTGTCGTCGGTCAGAAAACTGGAAAAGGCGTGAGGTGGCAGGACGCCCGGACGCCGTTCGATTCAAACAACGAAGCCGCCCGGGGCGGGGCGGGACAGGCGGTGCTCGCTTCGCAGCGCACCGGCAGAGGCGGCGCAGGAACAGTAGCCAGCAGGACTAGAGCCAGGAGCAGACCTGCCTGGCCTGGCCGGCTGGCCCCGCGCTGTCCGAATTTCCAATTCTGTGCTGCGCGCCCTGCGCGTGTCTGCCACTTTCGCCGCTTCCGCAGTTCTGTGTGGCTGTCTGTCGATGGCGCGAGCTGAAGCTCCGCGTCCGCGGTGAGAAGAAAGGCATGGCCCTGGGGTCTTTGTGTGTGTGTGTGCTCGCTCACTGCTCGGCGCTTTTTGTGTGTCATTGTGTGCCAGTGCCAGCAATTGGAGCGTGCACGCAAAGATGGGACACGGTATGGCCCTAGCGAAATCCATGCGCGCAGGCGCAGGCGCACGCACGCACGCACACAAAGGTCCGGTCACGCCTGCGCCCGGCATCCTCTCTGTTCCCGAAGCTGCACTTGGGGCGCATTCGGTTGATCCTCGACTCTTCGTGGGATTTTCTTGTAGTTCCGCACCACTAACCAGTGCCATGCACAGCCAATCTCCTGATCTGATACAGAACGCGTGTTCAGTTCCACCCTAAATTTCTAAAAAATACTACAGTACCTATCACATCGAATGTTTGCGTCCGTGCATGGAGCATTAAATGTAGACGAAAAAAAACTAATTGTACGGTTTGGTGGGATATTACGAGACGAACATTTTGAGCCTAATTAGTCCATGATTAAACACTAATTATCAAATAAAAACGAAAGTGCTACAGTAACCTCAAATTACAACTTTCTAGAACTAAACACGCTCAGAGATGACCAAGATCTTGGTAAACCCAAAATCCACCCACGCAGTCCTGCAGGCACTGTGCATACTCCTGCAAGGCTGCAGTGCAGTACGACCGGCGCTTGTTCTTTACTAATCTCTGCATGGCCCAATTAGCAAAAAAAATGAAAGCGGGAGATAGTAGCAGCATCATCATGCTGTACACTTGTACTCCTACAGAGTGCTTGAAAATCACTAGCACCAATCACGGAAATCAACCAGGCATACTAGCCCAGAGGCACGCATGCACGAGAAAGAAGCGCCAAGAAAAAGTGAAACAGCCACTTTCCCCCTACTCCTTGTGGCGTGGCAGAAAGCTCTCACGACTTCAAAGTTCAAACTCAAAGTCGCATTGCAAATTTCTTTTATTCTATTATATTCTACGGAAAGTTGCAAATTTCCAGTAGCACCCACACCAACCACACCTCGCATTCCCCATGCGGTGAACCGCCAAAACCTCCCACTTTAAAGTCCCAGCCCCTCTCAAACACTCCTCTTCACTCACCACTCTTCACTCTCCACTGTCCAGCCTCCATAGGTCAAGAGCCAAGCTCACGAAACGCCAGCCATGAGGTGGCGGCTTAGAAGCAGTAAGCAACAGCAGAGGGAATCCCTGCAACCACCGGAGCAAGAGCGCCAGGGAGAGAGCAAGAGGAAGAGCAAGGCGATCTTCTCGTCCTTCTCGCCCTTGGCATGGCTTGCGAAGCTCACGGCCAAGAACGGCGTGGCCGCTACCAAGGCCGTGCATGCGACGTCCACGGCAAAGAACACCGCTCAGCCCGCCACCGCATTCCCGTCTTGCTTCCACAAGCCCACGAGCCCCAGCACCGCGTCGGCGTCGGCGTCGCGGAGCAGCCTGGCCTCTTCGTCATCATCCGCCGCCGAGGCAGAGGCAGCAGCTGGCATTGTCCCGCGTCGCGACGACACTACCGGGGACACGGTGGCAGGCATCGCCCCGCGTCGCCGCTCGGTGGGCAACGATGACACCTGCTGCAGGACCGAGGCCGCGACCGCGCGGCAGCAGCTGTACCACCGTCGCCACTACTCGGTCGGCGGCGACCGCGACCTTCGTCCGCTCGGCCACCTCGTCTCCCTCTCCCCGAAGGCGCCGCCGTCGCCGACACCGGCGCCGGTGCGGACGCTGACGCCGATGCTGCCCCCGCTGCCTTCCGACACGGAGGACGGGGAGAAGCGGACGACACGAAGCCGCCGGCGCCGGCGCCGGCGCGTAGTCGTCAGTGGGAGGCGGTCATTCTCCTCGGCGAAGGCCCCGGCGGCCGGCGCGCGCCTGGCGGGCGCGGTGCCCGTGCGCTCGCCTAGGCCTAGCAACGCCGCGGCGGCGGCGGTGTCGGAGCTGGAGCGGTTCGCGGTGGTGCGGCGGACGCGGGACCCGCAGCGCGCGTTCCGGGCGTCGATGGTGGAGATGATCGCGAGCAAGCGCATGGTGGGGCGTCCCGAGGAGCTGGAGACGCTGCTGGCGTGCTACCTGTCGCTCAACGCCGACGAGCACCACGACTGCATCGTCAAGGTCTTCCGGCAGGTCTGGTTCGAGCTCAACAACACCTCCCGTGTCACCGCCACCGCCACCGCCGTCGCCGCGCCGCCGCAGCGCACCTGAGACTGCCGGGCTACCACCTACCGCCACCACGTCCATGCAGGATCACGAAGCGAAGCGGCTCGAAAATCCGCGCCGCAGGGCATCCGCATCCCCGCGGGCGTCGGCATCCATCATGGCGTGTCCGGAGCCGACGTGGACGCTGATTTCCACGCGTTTTTTAGGCGTACGTGCCGACGTGGCCTTTTCACGCGTGTCTGCGGAAAAGCTGTGGCCTGTTCCTGTGGGGACGGAGGGAGTTGGTAGGTACTGTAGTGCTCTGCTCAAGAACAACTGTTTCTTGAGTATTGAGTATTCAACCCGTTCGCTTGTTGGTTTCAGCCAGTCCAAACCACTAATCAACAGTATTTTTTTTTCAAAAAAACCAGCACCAGCCAGCCTAAACTAGCACCAGCACCAACCAGCGAACAGGCCCATTGTGTGTTTGCCAGCACAGCTTCAGGTTCAGACGCTCAGTGAAACGCATGGAAGGGACAAAAATAAGCCTGTTCGTTTCATACGCTTGGATCCGTATGCTCCAGTCCTGTAATTTGGCGGCATGTATCGCATGCAAAAGATTCCAAGGTCTCCGGTTTCTAGAATTCAAATAGCTGCCGACTTGAGGCTTTTGTTTGAAAGTGTGAACAGTTGATATGGCCAGTGTTTGCCGTGTACTGCACTGACACGAGACTATCAGACCTCACAGTTCTCTGTTTTTTTACTGACATGAAGTTCACTATTTTCGTTTTTGTTCGTTTGTTGTTTTATATTATTGTGGACGTAGGGAAGGACACGCAACTTATAGAGCTGTGCCCGAAGTCCTGAACTCGCAAATTGTTCAGAAAGGAGTCATGATGACCTAATTTTTTTTTTCAAAAGGACGCCGACAGATTTATCCAGTCATTTTATTAGAAGAGAATAGAATAATTACAGAGCACGTAAAGGAAAAGGGAGAAGAAAAAATAACGAAAGAAAAGTGATCGCTAAGGAGATGCGAGGGACACCGGACACACATCATTCAGACATAGCCGATTACGCAACTTACCCCGCCGGCCATGAGGCCATAAGGCCATAAGAGCATCTCCAAGAGTTTCCTACATTTTTCTTCTAAAAAGTTGTAGTTTGGCAACTCCTAAAAAGATATTAGGAGGAAAAAAGACAGTCATCTCCAAGAGTTTCTAATAAATAACATCTAAAAAATCAAATTGAGCTTTTTCTAGCTTTTTTTATTTTTTGTCACGGGAAACATATCGGCTGCCGTACCCTAAGGCCACGATCTCCCTGCCGCCGCCGCCAAGTCCCAGCCAAGGCATCCACCACCCAGCCGGCTGCCGCCTCCTTCCGGCCAGCGACGCGAGTACTACTACTGCTTCTACACTCCAGCCAGCGACGTGAGTACTATTCTGCTTCTACGCGACGTGAGTACTATTCAGGGCAACACCTCTCGCTGGCTATGCTGACAAAAACGTCACAGGAAAACAAGTACATCCCATAGTTTTGTGCCAAGCTAAACGACGAGGAGAGATATTTTAGCCATAATCAACTATCTTAAAGAGCTTTCTGGGTGCCGAATCTATGTCAGTTTGTTTGTCCTAAGTTTGATTATAAACAATTTTCCATTCTTTCAAAATCAGATTTGTGCACTTGTGTCATATAATTTAAAATTTTCTTCTTTCTCGAAATACCATGCAGCCGGCCAGTACCAATCAACATCAGCTACAGTACCATGCACTTGTGTATATACGAACACATATGTCCATCTATAATTCACCCGCAGACGCCCAGCTAGCACCAGTACCAATCAATTTCATGGCCACATATACAAAGGTTCACTGAATATAAATAATACATATTAAAAAGCACTTGACCATATATGATAAAGCAAAGGTTCACTGAATTCCAAAATTAAATGGCTATAGGGAAAAAAATCACATGAACTAGTTTTAATTCGCCAAACGACGATCAACAATCTTCTGCTTTGCATAAGCTGTGTAATATTAACTTGCTGTCAGAAGGGTCAAGGCGCTAATGTCCATGCCATTATTTTTCTTCCTTTTCGATCGTGTCATTTTCCACCTTCCATAATTCAGCTTCTACCTTTTTTTCTTCTAATGCCAGCGCCTTTTCTCTAGCTCAAGTGAAGCCATGTGCCTCTCCTCTTTCTTCTTCTCTTTCTCCATGTCAAATGCCTCCTTCTTCGCCCACATTTTGTCCAAAGCCTCCATGCAAGCTTCACCTCCTCCTCGCCTTAGAGCATCTTTTGCCTTCTTACGTCCTCGTGGCCTCTTTCGGGCTTCGGACTGGAGGTGCAATCTCGGTGACATCTTGATGATGTTGACTTGTACATTCGTGGGAGTGGAGTCTGGCGAACCTTTTTTTTTTCTTGTTACCGGCTTGCTTCAGCTCTGCCAGTTCCCTTCTCTTGGCCTTCCACTTCTCTTCATCCTTCAAAATGTTCCAAAGACCTTTGCATGAGAGTGAATGTCTTCTCACCGTTTATTCCTTGGAACATAGTTAATGCTTCGTAAACACGGAAACATATGTGTTTATTAAATATCAACGTGTATGTCTTCTAAGATTACTGAAATAAGAAAAAGAATTACCTTGTCATGAATGGTTTTTCCACTTTGATTTCTACGCTCAATCGCATCATAGCAAGCACAATACTTGTTGACATTCTCCAAAATATACATCCATCTATGCATTAGTGAACTCTCATTTCGGCTTGCAAATGACTTCTGTGGGTCTCATAGTAATCATAAATTCTACGCCAAAAGGGAATGAGACTGATTAGCACCTTGCACGGGATCTTTGCTGACGTTCAACCAAGCTGAGACAACAATTTCATCCTCGTCCGGAATGAAATTTTTTTGCCTCTTAGCGTTTGGCCTTGGAACGCGTGGGCATTTATTACCACCAGGACTGGACTGTACTTCTACAACTTCAGCACTGCCTCTGCTCGCACTTCATGTTCTTCAACACTAGCTCCTAGCTGCACGTCCTCATATGTGTGCGTTTCTGTGTCATTGGAAAGCTGAACTCGTCCAAAGAACGAACACCCTCAAACTCTGTGACCAAATCGGTCCAATATCCACCACCGGACATTACGACGAGCCTACAAATATGAACAAAGAAATCATTACTAAAGTATTTCCCTTTCTTAATCATGCAAAATCATTACGAAATGACCCATGACTCATGGTGCTTGGGTTCGGATGGCAAACACAGTCATTGGAAACACAGTCGATCGATACAGGCAAATACAGTCATTGGAAACTCATGTGTCACGCGTCGATCGATCTGGCTGAGCAAAACACAGTCATTGGAAGGAGGACCGAGCAGATAAAAAGGAGGACCGCGTCGATCATCGGAAGGAGGACCGAGCAGATCTGCTGCACTACCGCTGCAAGGTAACGCGTCGGTCGAATCTGGCAAACAACGCCACGGCGGCGGCGACGACGACGGAGCACGCGAGAATACCGTGAAGATCCAAAAGAAGATCGGAGGAGAGGAGACCAATCTGCGAAGACGAAAAACCGATCAGACGTACCTCGGCACCTCACGATGAGCGGCATCGAACCTCTTCGGATGCCGACGGAGGAGTGGCTTCTTCGTATGCCTCCAAGATCCGACAAGCTGCGATGAACGAAGCGCGCCAAGGACCGATTCGCGGCAAAAGGAGGGCGCCAAATTGATGATGCTGGGAAGCCGCCGATTCGCGCTTAGGCTGCGGCGGCAGTAAAGATACTCGCGCCTGGGTCAGTTTACCAGGTGCCTAAAAATTAGGAGAAGATATTAGAAACTGTTGGAGAGAGATTTTTTCTCTTGTTTCTAAAAACTAAGGATTAGGAGTGGGTTTAAGGAACTCTTGGAGATGCTCTAAGGGACAACAATAGTAACTACCAAGATAGCTACAAACCAGAGAGCTCCCAAAGCAACTAAAACGCTCACATTAGGTTGTAACTTTAGGTACAAAGGCCCGATTGCATAGTTTGATGTCTTCCAAGATCATAAAAATCAAACTATGCAAAATTTTGCATCGTGGTATTGTGGAACGTTCTTCCATTCATTTCCTTCCAAATATTCTAACAAAAACATATAATTATTCTATAAAAAATGATGCCTGTCCTCTTTGCGAATCCTACGTTTACACTTTTGCCAATGGTGTGGCCTAGTCGTGTCCTTGCGTCGCCGCTGTTGGCTGCGAGACTCTAGTTCCGTAAGTCAGGAAGAGCTCTCTTAGTGCTTCTTTGTTGAATAGTTGCCATGATGCCATCAACTGTCAATCGCGAAACGACATAGTCTTCTTGTTCCAAAATTATTGACTAACAAACTATGAGCACCTCGTTCATTAAGAGTATTTTCCACGAACGTAAACGTACTCGCGTAGGTTACATTGCAGATCATATTAATTATTAAACGCGATACACAAGGCTCCATGAGTACATTATTATGTCTTCGAACTCACTTGGACCTAGGTCGTGGGTACACAAATGCGTTGTACTTTTTTTGAGCCTAAATGCGCTGTACTTGAAATATGCTCTCGACTCAGATATGGAGTTCAATAGCACAGGGTGCCGTAGTGCATGCCATGTCCAGTAAAAACTATGGCCATTGTTCATGTCAGAGGCGTTTAGCTGTGGGCGGTCACACTCACATCATTCAAAAATTGAGTAGTACTGTCAAATACTTCCTTCATCCCAAATTACAAGACATTTGACTTTTTTAACATCAAGTTTGATCACTCGTCTTATTCAAAAAATTTGTGCAAATATAGTCAAATTTAAGTCATTCTTGAAAAACTTTTATTAATAAACCAAGCCATGACAAAATAAGTGATATTTTGCATAAATTTTTGAATAAGACAAGTGGTCAAACTTGGTGTCAAAAAAGTCAAACGTCTTATAATTTATGATGGATTGAGTACCAACCATCTGGCACTATTTTAAGCCAACTATTTAACTTCAATTAGAAATATCTATAAATATTGTCTTGAATAAAAATCATTAGACCTTATAAAAGCA